GTTTCCCTCAGTTTCCTCATCTGTAAAATGAGCTGGAAAAGGAAGTGGCAAACCACTTTGCCCAGAAAACCCCAAATGGGATCACAAAGAGTGGGATGTGACTGATACGATAAAACAACAATAACAAGCCTTTCAGGGTTGTTAAGGTAAAGTGAGACATTTCCAAAATGCTTTGTGAGTCTTAAAGCACTATATCAGTGCTAGTTGTTATTGTTAGTTATACTATTTACAGAATGCTTCATAGAACGGTAGTTAGTAGGATGCAGGGACTTTGGTACACTAGTCTTCCATAAGCTGTGCTGAATCCAAAGAACTGCCATCATTTTTGGAAAGCCTAAAGAATAGCCTTGGAAGCAATAATAGAAAAGCTTTGGCCTGCTTCAGCTGGCCTGCTTTGTGTTGTTATGGAATCACTGTGTTTTGGAGTTGGAAGGCATCTCAGGGTTTATCTAGACCAGAGGTCTTCACGGAACAAATCCTTTTAAAGGATTGACATTTGGATTCAGTCAAAGGGCCACATTTGAGGACCTAGAGGGCCACACGTGGCCTGGAGACCATAGCTTCCCCCACACTTGATCTAGACCTAATTCCATCTGGAAAAATTAATTTTCTCCTGAGAAAATTTGAACCTCAGGTTAGATGCATGGGAAATGGGTTCATCTGCATTACGTTGTTTTTGAAGTCAGTACTTGTGAGTTTCTTGATGGGAAGAACTCTTCAGTGTAGAGACTCCCCTGCCAATGCAAATCCACCATTTAGCTGTAATGTGCTACCTTGGAGAGTTCCTGGAGAGGAACTTCTTTATGGGTATACTTTACTATGTGTCAGAGACAGTACTGGAACTCGGGCCTTTCCTGATGCCAGAGCCACCCTCTCCACCTGCTACACCGTGCTGCTTGTCATATAGTAGGCATTTAATAAATGTCTGATCACAATCCGTTCTATTGTGAGCTCCTTCAGGGTGAGGATTGTCTTCTACCTCCTTTTGTATTAGTAGTACTTAGCATGGAGCCTGGTACATAGTAGGTGCTTAATAAATGTTGTTTGATCTCAATTGACTCCACGTTCTTGACTCTGCTTACATGGAGTACAAGGACAGCACTTGGTCCTGTAGAATCAGTATGCAGTACTTTTTATGCCTGTATGTGATAAAAGGTCTTTTCCCCCTTCATCTGCATTGTCCATTTTTAGACCACACAATGTTAGAGGGCATTGATCAGGTTTGTTTGTTTTTAACCTTTCCTAACAATACGCTGTGTGCACCTAGAACAGGGACAATTGGGTGGCACAGAGTATAGAGCCTGATATCAGGAAGACCTGGGTTCAGACTGGCCCTAGGCAAGTCGTTTAACCTGGTTTGCCTCAGTTTCTTCATCTGTAAAGTGAGCTGGAGAAGGAAGTGACAAACCTCTCCAAAATCTTTGCCAAGAAAACTCCAAACGGGGTCATGAAGAGTCAAACACCACTGAAACAACTGGATAAAAATAAAAAAACAACAACAACAAACTTTTGGGGTGTAGTACAATCAAACCAGCCCTGGCTCTTCACTGGGAGGACCTGGATTGAAATCCCACCTCTAGTGCTTGCTGCCATGTGACTTTTAGCCTCAGTTTCCTCTTCTGTAAAATGGGGGAGGGGTGAGACTGGATGATCTCTGAGGCCCCTTGTAGTTACAGCTCATTGAACCTGTGGTCTGTGTTTTTTTCCTCTCGGTCTGAATTCTTAAGGAGAAGTCATAGCTTCCAAAGGCTAATTTAACTGTAATTTGGTGCATTTACTTATTCACTCCTCCTGTGACTCACCCGTCCCCTCCGTAAAAAGGGAACCTGCTTCATAATTCTCTCCCATGGAAGATGCTCTGGCTCCCCAAACCATACCATTAATAGGGCAAAATAAAAGGCCCCATTTCCCTTCTTTGGAACCTTCTCTACCCCGTAGAAAAAGCACCAGATCTGCATTTTTTCATATGGTTTGGGTACAGATACTGGGTGGCCATGGGAAAATCACTTAACCTCTCTGATCTTCATGGTCCTCATCCCTAATATGAAGAATTGACCAAATGATTGCCAGGGTCCCTTCCAACTCTAATGTTCAATGATTCCAGGAAAGAATTTTAGCTTTGCAAAAAGCAGTATCCCATAAAGCTGAGGGTTCATGTCAGCAACCAGCCGAGGAACATTTAGGAGTGGCTGTCTCGTGAGTACAGACTTATTGTTAATATGGCCATGTTTATAAGCCAGTGAACCTCATGAATGTTAAAAGAAAATCTGTGACCAATTTTTCTAATCTTGGTATTGTTTCTTGGTCTCCTTTGCCATGAAAATCTGGTATGTCTATAAGGAACAGATGGAAAGCTAAGGCAGTAATGATAACCAGAATTGCTTTTAATGTAGTGCCAAAGTATATAGCTTTGAAAGAATGTTCAACTAGGTTTGGCTTTTGAAAATAATTTAAATGTAATTCTCGTAAGTGTTTGAATGTTAGAGTTTTCCAGGAATATAAATTATAGAGCTATAAAAAGAAAGCTAATTGGACCAGCAGAACCGTTAGAGAATGTTCTGGTACCCAAAGGCCCATTCTCTTTGGTGAGCATGTCATTGAGATTCTCAGGGTTATTGATGACTCAGATATGATGCCTTTAATCACACTAGTCTTTGACTTACAGGCTGCAAGTTCCTCCCAGCCCTCCTCCTCCCACCTTTGTCTGACAAGTACCAAAATTAAGTTTTGTAGTATTCAGATGTTTAGGCTTGGAGACTACATTTCAGTAAGGCATTGGCTGGGATGTTTGAATGAGAAATAACATGAGGAAAAAGGCATTTTCTAAATCAATAAAATGTTCCCTCAAACCACTGTAAATGTATGTGACAGATAGATTATAAAGATACAGGGACTGAGTAATCAGAGGCATTCAGGCATTTTCCATTTTAATTTAACTGAATATTAAACAACCAAAAACACCTCCCCCAACCCCCCCCCCAAAAAAAAAGAGCCCCCTGCCCAAATGACACAGAAATTCCCAAAACACATCAGGAAAGAAATTTTGTGAGAGAATAACTTTTTGTAAGAGTGCAAAACTGGTCATAAGTGAGACTGGTAGCTGCCCAGTATGCTTTTTCTGTTTATAACAGTGATAATGCTGATGCTGTTATTTTTTCATTTGTGTCTGACTCTTCATGAGCCCATTTGGGGTTTTCTTGGCAAAGATACTGGAGTGGTTTGCCATTTCCTTCTCTGGCTCATTTTATAGATGAGGAAAACTGAGGCAAATAGGGTTAAGAGACTTGTCCGGCGTCACACAGCTCGTATGTGTCTGAGGCTGGATTTGAATTCAGGTCCTCCCAACTCCAGGGTTGGTGCTTTATCCACTACGCCACCTAGCTGCCCCCAAAAGGGGTGTTTTTTAAGGAAGACAGTGTGTGACATAGTGAATGGATGAACTTGGAGGAGGCAGAGCTGGCATTTACCAGCTTAGCTCTGTGACAGGTCACTTGCCTTCTCAGTCTCGGTTTTCTCATCTGTAAAATGGGGACATTTTTGACTTTTGATGGAGGATAACAAAAGTACCTACTTCACATGGTTGTGGTGAAGAGAAAATAATACTTTAAGCAAAGTGCTTTGGAAACTATCAAGCTCAATATAAATGTTAACTGCTGTTTATCATTATTCATTTGCATTAGGATGACTTAAGCTAACTTGCCAGTGTTCTTGATGTAATGCGCCTATAAAAATGGACGCTTCTGTAATGTTAAATGTATTAAGTGGTTATTTAACAGAATAGCGCTAACTGTCCTTTCGTCCACCCCAACCAGACTGTCTGCATACTGTTCCCTGTACATGATGTCATGTCTCCCCACACTTTGCCTCTGTACAGACTATCCCGCATGCCTGGAATGCTCTTTCTGCTCATCTGTATTTCTTGGAACCCTTTATGTGGTAGAATAAATAGGCACTTATTTTGAAAAAGTTTCCTTAAAAGACATTTTAGAACTGGTCTTTGTCCAACAGGTAAATTCATCACTGGGACCAATGGGTATTTTAAAATGGAATTAAATAACCGAGTTGTCTCTTCTCTGTCTTTCTTTGTGGAAACATAGAATCTGGGCAGCTAGATGTATAGAGCACCAGCCCTGGATTCAGGAAGACCTGAGTTCAAATCTGGCTTGAGACACTTGACACTGACTAGCTGTGTGACCCTGGGGCAAGTCACTTCACCCCATTGCCTCACCAAGATATATATAAAATCAATTATACTTCTAAGGAAATTGACAGTTATAAATATTTTTCTGTTCCATGCTTCTCCACCATCTTGTTCATCACAGAGAGCCTATGAGTCAGGTAACAGATCTATTTCTTCTTCCATAGAATCCTGGGGTCGGTCACAAAGGCTCACTAAGTATCATTTAGTCCCTTCCTCTGCCTCTGAGATGTAGCCCTGCATTAATATCCTTCCATAGTTTTCGTAGTTTTGTTTTCACTAAATCATCCCAGTGTTCTATACCAATGTATTTCTCTACCATCCTTCCAAATCCAATTTAAATCAGTTTCTTCCCATTCAGCTTTTAATAAATAAGAAGAAAAACATGGCACATGCAGATATCCTTCATTCGATTACATATTCCTAAGTTTTAAAGACTGTTAGGACATTTGAAATCAGAAAATGGCCTTACTGGCAGAGTGCAGTAATATGTCATACACAGACACACACACACACACACACACACACACACACACACACACACACACACGCATGCGCATATATGATCAACAATGTTTCTGATATTTTGTTCTTTCCATGCTTACAACTACAGTGAAACCCCACCTCTCACTCTTAAAAATTATGGGCTATTCAATCTTGTTTGAGTTCAGGTTTCCCTTTCTATAAAATGGGCATAACCATAAGCATAGTTCTCACTTCACAGGGTCATTGTGATCATCAGATGAGTTCTTTGTACTCCGCATTGGCACATTTTTTGATTTGTTTGTTTGGATTCCTAAAGGATATGGTGGCTATCAAGAGGACGTATTTGACAGGCAGCCTTACCAAGATGTCCCAAGGAACTATGACATCTATACCGCAGGGCTTACTGAGGAGGAGCAGCTGGAAAGAGCTCTCAGAAACAGCCTCCGTGACCGAGGTAAGAATCCCATGGCCTTGCTTATCTTCAAGTAGGGCTCACATGGTGAGGTACTGTCTGCACAAGGACTGTGTTGCAGAGAAGCAAACTTAAAATAGTTTGTAAAAAAGCATATGTAGGTGAAGAAATGTGTGCAGAATGTGATTACAGGGAATGTGGTGTGATGCCATATTGCCACCAACCTAATGTAATAAAGTGCTAGACTATGTATGGACGTATTGTTAACGTTGTTCTTTTTATAGGCCCGCTCAACTCAATTACTTTGACAACAATAAAAAGTCAGGAAACTTCTTAAAAAAAAACCAAACTCTTCTTAAAGGCATGCAATGGGTTCAGAGTGAAGCATGTTGCTGCAAAATAGGTCGTGTATCACTGTGCTGCCTCTCTTCTTAACTAGCCTTATCAGGACTTTGTTTCTGATTTCCTCTTTAATGCTTTTAACATCACAGGACTCCCTGGAATAGCCCTTGAGAACCCAAAGTTACTTTACACTTCCAATGAAGCATTGGAATAGGATGTTAGTGAAGCTGGCTTAGGTAAAAAGTTAGGTGCCTTTGGTAGGGCTGGTATGTCCAGTGAACTGATGTGGCCACCTAAGGAACTCTCTGATGACCTTGGTGTTTAAAAAATGCATAGAAAATATGGAGGGGCACGTAATGACAGGAGAAAACAACGACTTGAAGGCAGGAACTGTTTCTTTTTTCCTGGCACATACCAGGAACGTAGTAATTGCTTATTGGTTGATCGGCTCTAATCTCAGACAGGCTTACTTAGCTGTTTAAAGATGGCTGTCACTTTCATAAAGTTACTATTTCTCCTGGGTAAATATTCTCATTTCTTTAATGGCTCTTCATAGGTTTTTATTTTTCCCAAGTCGTCTTCCTGCCCTGGTTGTATTTCTCTAGTTTATCCTTAGCCATCTGTTTAGTTTCACCAAAAAAAAACCCCAAAACCCAGTAGTTTTATTTCCTTTTTTGACATCTACATTGATAAATGAGGTTATAATAATAGATGTGAAATGTAAGTGAGTCAGTCAATAAATATTTGAGTGCCTTTTATATGTCAGGCATTGTGCTGAGTTCTGGGGATACAAAATAGGTAGGTAAGTAGATAGATAGATATAATTATATAACAGGTAGGTAGATGGATAGATAGATATAATTATATAAAAGGTAGACGGGTAGATAAATATAATTACATAAAAGGTAGGTAGATAGATGGATCGATAGATATATAAAAGGTAGATACATGATAGGTAAATAGATATCTATATAAAAGATGGCTATAGACAGTTATATAAAAGGTACGTAGATAGATAGTTAACTATATAAAAGATATAGATAATTATATAAGCAAAGCAGTTGACAGGATTTCTTAGGATATCTCTGAGCACAAGATAAAGAAATATGAGCCAAATGATTCCATTTGGGTATATTTGTAGCAACACAACCTTCTCCCAAACCCCCCTGTTATGTCAAGCACCGCCATTTTTCCTGCAGCCCAAGTTTGTAACTTAAGGAGTCCTCAAGGCCTCACTCTCTCATCACACATATCCAGACAATCTCCATATCTTTTCACTTCTACCTTCACAACGCAACATCTCTAACCTACATCTCCTCCTCTCCACTCACACAGGCCTAATTCAGTCTGTCATCCATCACTTCTTGCCTGCACTATGGCAGTAGCTTTCTGATTCGGCTCCCTGACTCCAGTTTCCCCTTACTCTAATTCATCATCCTCGCAGCTGCCAAACTCTTCTCAAGTCTTGGTCCTACTCTATCACTCCACCTCCACTTCCAACAAACAAATCCTAATGGCTCTAAATTGCATCCAGAGTCAGATAGACGTGCTGCCTCAGTCTACGCAATCTTTGCTTTGCCCATGTTTGCTGGTCCTCACATACCCTGCCCCATCTCCCATCTTTGTGCTTTTTCACTGGCTGGCTGTCCCCTCTGCCTGGAACGCTCTTCCTCCATACTTCAAAATTAGAAAATCCTAGCTTCCTTTAAGAATCAATTCAAGCATCATCTCCTCCAGGAGGCCTGTCTTGGTTCCCCACTCCCACCCCAGATGCTAATGCCATCCCGTCTAAGATTACTCTCTACTTTCTGGGTATTTATTTTGTATGTGTATACACACACACACACACACACACAGAGGTACACATAAATATATACATACACACAGATGTATATACACATACACCCCCATTAAAGCATAAAGCTTCTTGAAGGCGATGACTTTTTTTTTCATGTATCAACAGAGCTCAGCCTAATGCCTAACCCATCTTAAACACTTAACAAGTCTTATGGATTGATTAATTGATTGGTTGCTGACTGATCATACATTCCGTGGAGAGAGAGCTCTGTAGTGGCATCTCATAGGATATTCTTCTGGGTCCTGTGACAGTTACCATATTTTTTTCAATAATGTAAGGAAGGTATATTATTAAATTTGAAGATGAGATAAAGTTGAGAAAGAACTCTTATTTATCAGATCATAATTCTTGATGAGAGTTTTTTCAGTCTTGAGCAAAAACTAATGAGGTGAACTTTTCTTAAGGATGAATGCAAAGTCCTAAAATTTCTTTTTAAAAATGTGCTGTAAAAAAATACAATAAAAATAAAAAACAGCTGTCAGAAGTATGTGTTGGAGAAGACCCAATTTAATAGCAGCTCGTTAGATAAGACAACATGGCATAGTAGGAAATGTACTGGACTGGAGTCATGAGAGATCTAGTTTCAGTCTTGTCTCTAAAATTTACTTCTTGTGTGGCCCTGGACAAGATCCTTGACTTCTCTAGGCCTCGGTTATCCCATCTACAAAATGGGGATGATGAAGATTGCAATACTTACTTCATAGGATTGTTGGGAAGATCCAGTAGTATATCATTCATGAATATGAAGTGCTTTAAAACCGTAAAGCACAATATAAGTGTCATTTAGGGAGTTTTAGTTGACTATAACCTCAGTATAAATCAACAGTGTGATATGACTGCCAGTCGTAGGCTTCGTCTTCATTAATAGAGTCATAATGTCCCCAGCAAGGGAGGTAGTAGTCTATAATCAGATCACATCTGATTGTACTATTTCTTTTCTGGACGCCATATTTTAAGGAGAATTTTGACAGTGTAAATAGAGTATGTCCGGAAGAAAGTGACAAGGAAGATGAGACGACTTGAAACCAAGTTCCATGGAAAGAGTTCATAAAGTCATGGATGATGGAGGTCATCCGGACCAAACACCCTCATTTTACAGGTGAAGAAAACTAACCCAAATGTGGAGAGTGACTTGCCCAAAGTCAAATGGGTAGTTAGAGGCAGAACCAGGATTCAAACTCGGATCCTCTGACTCCACATCCATTATTCTTGGCTTTGAAGAAGAAATGCTTAATCTGGCAAGTAGATGGACTTGGATTTAAGTCATACTTCTGACATATTAGCTGTGTGCCCTTAGGCAAATCACTTCAGGTAACTCTCCAGAGACTACAAGTCATAGGCAAGGTATTGATCTGCAAAGGTGAAAGGAGTTTTCACACATGGAGTACTTTGTATTTTTTCATAGTGAGTAAGGAAATCATAGGTCCAGTTCCCCATTTCTCTCTCCCTGCAGAGAAACACTACCTCTCCCCCCAAAAAAATCTTTTAGGTGTTTCATTGTTAATTAATGTTATTTCTAAAATTCTGTGTTATCACAAATGATAATCTTGGAATTGATTTTTATAATCTTGCATATTGTTTCTACTAAATGATGAATATCAGATTTGGTTTTGAATTATTATGTGAGTAAAACTAGCAAATGAGATTTTAATTTGTTCCAGTGGAAATGGATGATGTTAGTAGGTTAAGGAGCCAGACATTGCTGAGTAGATACATTTGTGGGGTCCGACAAGAATCCTTTGACACTTGTGAGAGTGAATCCTGATCACTAGGACATGATTTTTGACAAAACATTTATCCCCCCCTTTTGGGTGGCACAGGAATAGAGCACCTAGTCTGGAATCAGGAAGAGCCAAGTTCAGTTCCAGCCTCAGACCACTTACTAGCTGTGTGATCCTGGGCAAATCACTTAACCACAATGTGCCTCAGTTTCCTCGTCTGTAAAATGCAGATAATAATAGCATCTACTTTACAAGGTTGTTGAGGATCAAATGAAATAATATATGTAAAGCATTCAACAGTGTCTAGTTCATTAGGTGCTATAAAAATATTTATTCCCTCCTCTTCCTTTATTTTTCCCCTTTTATCAATATACTTAATTAGGTCAAGAGATTAGCTTACCAAATAATAAAGTATAATACATCAAATTTCCAGAGTAGATTTTCTTCTGAACTGCATTTTCATGAAAAAACCAATCACATTGGATGATGATGACATTGATACAGCACTTTATTATTACAAAATCTCCTTTGGTCCTTACCATAATCCTGACACAAGTTTCATTATCTTCATCCTATACAAAAAGTAACTGAGTCTCAGAGAGGCTGAGGGACTTGTCCAAGGTCACACAGCATCACCAAGTGGGAGGTCCATAGTTCTAGTTGAGGTCTCTTGGCTTCAAGTTCAGTGTTCTTTACACTAACTTTCCATGAAATAGTTAAAAGACTTAGGGGGAAAAAAAAACCTGTAAAGGAGATAATTTTTTCAGGTGCAGAAGGAGAGATGATTAATTTTTTTAAAACAATGTCCCAATTTCAATAAGCATTAAATATATGTAGGTCTTTCATTTGCTTGGAGGAAACTGTGTTGTTCTGGCTTGACCAGCTGACCTTTAATTTCACCGTACCCACTGGTTTTGCCCCTACGCTGCAGCGTACTTGACTCTACTTACCCTGCAGGCTATCCTATTTAGTAGTCTCTGTATACTGAGTTATAACTTCCCTGCCAGGGGTGCACGCCCTCTTTGCTATTCTGTAGGCTGGCCTGGGGTTGGGGGAAAAGGGGAGGGGCGGGTCGAGGAGAGAAGATGGACATGTGTCAAATTCCTTTTGTGTTTGTATGT